TCCATTCAACACCAAACCTCGTGTGCCAATACACCCCAACAGAACAGACTGGCTAAGCGAAGGGACCGACAACTACTTGAAGAAGTTTGAGCCTCACTATTTGACATGAAAGTGCCATGAGAATATTAGGGGGAAGCAGCTCGCTCAGCTGCATACATCATTAATCGAACTGCATCTCGAGTTGTTGCTACTCCAGCAACTCCAAACCTCGAACTTCAGGAACTTGTTGCTACTCCAGCAACTCCAAACCTAGAACCACATGTGTTGGGATGTACATCATATTTACATCATAACATAGGAAAGTTAGTGCTGCGAATGATAAGATGCACATTTCTTGGATATAAAGACCTTAAAAAAGGGTTATTAGTTTTATGATCCGAAAGAAATAAAGATGTATGTCATAAGAGATGTTGTATTTCATGAGAACATTCCATTTTTTTAAACATGAGTGCTCTCTTCAAGGGTAGAAAAATGTAACACTAAAGAATAAGTCACTCATGAATACCCCTCCAAAAGTTATACAACCAGCTAGACTCTTCCCGTTACCGGTGATACTAATATTGAATTTGTGTCCCCTATTGTTACTGATGATATTGAGTTTATGGAAAATAATGGTGAAGAATGTAACGAGTAGCTTGACAAAGATGTAGGCTAGAATGATAACCATAAGCAATAAGAATGTACAACTTCCCCAGATGCTCCTATTATAACCGAGAGTCCGCATGCTTTATCACATGTAAATACTCATTCTAACCCTCCTAATTTGCATGATCACATTATTGAACCAAGGTACCCCACCAAAAAAAACAGGGGCATTCTGAAGAGGCTGTATGAACCATATCTCAAAGCTAAGGCAAAATATCCTATAAACAATTATGTTTCATCTCATCGCCTATCAAAGTCTCATACCTTTGTCGTGAATCAACTATCATCTGTATCTATTCCTAGTGATGTACATGAGAAATTGAAGAACCAAAAGTGGAAATAAGCCATGAACGATGAAATGAAAGCTCTATAGAAGAACCATACATGGAAATTAATGTCACTTCCACCTAGAAAGAATACAGTTTGATGTAAATGGATATATTTTAACAAACTTGATTCCATTGGAAATATTGATAGACGTAAAGCAAGGCCAGTTGCCAAATGACACAATCAAAAGTATGGGTTTGATTATAGAGACACGTTTTCCCTTGTTGAAAAAGTGGATACCATTTGTATTATCATCTCCATAACAACAAACAAAGACCAACCCTTGAGACAATTTGATGTAAAGAATGAATTCCTTAATGGTACTAGAAGAATAGGTTTACATGGAACCTGCACTATGCATAAACCGTCAAGGAAAGGTGTGTAATTTGAAAAAGGAATTATACAGACTAAAACAATCTCCCCGAGTCTGTTTTGGAGATTTTTGAACTTTATGAAAAAGATTGGTTATAGACAAATCGATGCAGATCACACACTCTTCCTCAAGCAAAAAGGTAAAAAGGTGACTGCCCTTATCGTGTTTGTGGACGACATGGTGGTCACATGAGATGACACTGATGAAATGACCAATCTTCAAGTAGTCCTCACATCACAATTCCAATTGAAGGACCTAGGAAATTCTATATCATAGGTATGAAAGTGGCTAGATCAAGTCAGGGCAAGACCATGTGCCAAGGAAATTATGTACTTGACTTACTCACTGAAACGGGCATGTTAAATTGCAAACCTTTGGAGACTGCTATTAAAATGAATCATGGTTTAACTATTCACCCAAATCAAGTTTCAACCAATAAAGAGAGCTATTAAAGACCGGTTGGAAAGCTCATATACTTGTCTCACACGAGACCATATATCAAATATGTCATGAGTATTTTAAGTTGATTTATGCACGCCCCAAACAAAGAACACATGAAGACGGTCTACCGTATAGTGCAATATCTTAAATTGTCACTAGGAAAATGGTTGTTTTTCGCCAAGAATCGAAGTGAAGAGACAAATGGGTATACGGATGTAGATTGGGCTGGAAGTAAAACTGATCGTAAGTCCACATCAAGATACTTCACTTTCGTAGGAGGTAACATGGTTACACAGAGAAGTAAGAAACAGAAGGTTGTTGCCAGATCAAGTGCAGAGTCTGAGTTTTAAGGAATGGTACATGGAGTGTTTGAATTACTCTGGCTAAAATGAATCTTGAGAGATGTTGGAATTAAGCAACCTGATGCAATTATGTTCTATTGTGACAACCAAGCGGCTGTGAAAATTGCAAATAATCCCGTGTAACACGATAGAACAAAACATGTAGAAGTTAATCGTTATTTTATTAAAGACCATCTCGAAAAAGGTACTATTAGCCTTCCTTTGGTCGCCTCAAAAGATTAGCTTGCAGATACGTTGACAAAGGTGTGGAAGAGTTTTTCAGAGCTCTCTTGATAAGCTGAAAATGATAGACATCCATTCTCCACCTTGAGGGGGAGTGTTGGCGAGAGCTTATTTTGGGACATGATTTGATACCTTATGTATTTTATCCTTTTCCTTATTTACTAGTGTAATTAGCTATATGATTGTTGTATTTTGTGTGTATAAATTGTACCATCATCCTGAGATTTAGAATGCAATGAAAAACCTTTTCATAACGACTCTGTTCTTCAAACACCAACACTTATCTTGTTCTCTTTGTCTTTGTCAAGCACGTTAACAGTCTGCAACAGATCCTCGATTGATATAGCAAGGGCTGGAATATCATTTCACCACGCATGAATAAGAACCAACACCTCCTTTCCAGTGAAACATTAATGAAATAAATGTGTTTCGAATTCAGGTTTTGTGGCACAGGGCACACATGGCATGGGATAGTTTTGTTCTAATATATCTCCAAAATGTTGCAATCAAGATTTTTACAGTAAATTAGGTTGCATAAGGAGGCAGTAAATTAGTTTGCATAAGGAGGCAATAGAGAAACCGCTATCCTCTTCCATGTCCCAAGGCCAATGTGATCCATCATTTAAGAACAAATTCCTGAGGTCAATATTGACCTAATTTTGGTCAAGATTTATATGACTAATTATCCCCATACTCTTCGACTGTTGGTAGACAAACGGACTATCCCAAGGCTACGAAGGCTCCCGCCTGGTCCATGAATTGCTCTAATCACATCATTCCTAAGGGCATTATCTTCTTGTTTAAATCTCCACTACCACTTACTAAGGAACGCACTGGCGGAGCCAGAAAATTCTATATGAGGGTACAAACATCATCAACAAATATTTTATGTAGTTATCATATCTGGGGCATTAGAAAACATCATCCCTTTAGCTGGGGGTACAACAACATAAAACATGTTTAAAAACAACTTTTTTATATACATAAAACAATTTCTTTTGGGGATGCTGTAGTACCCCCAACGCCCCACATAGCTTCGCCACCGAAGGAGCGCATAGTCTACCTATCCCCAGACCTCCTCCGTTATTCTTAGTGTTCACCACTTTTTCCATGCAATCCAAGAAAATTTTCTCTTATTCCCCCATATTTTACAGGAGGTTTGCAGAGGGACTGGGATACCGAGGTAGTTGAAGGGAAGAGTATATTATTATTACTTTCTACCCATACTTCCCCCTGCTGGGATGCCATTATGGATGCACTTGGTCTAGAATATATTAGTATTACGTGTAACTTCACTTTTCCGTAAACTATCATCAAATTTTCAAAACCAAAATCATTACACTACTTTTTCTATTCGACGAGTATATCAAAAAAATTATTAAGAGGTTGAAACAAATGTTGGGTAATTCAGAATATATAGTAAAGGAAATTGCGTATCAACATTTATGAACATACATTGTAAATAATGTATAATAAATAAAATATGCAGTCCTTCAAAATATAATATTCACTTACTAATAATTAGAAAGTTATTTAGTATCTGAATCAATTATAAATTGGGTCTGAAATCAAAAGTCTAAGGATGGAACTAAATTTTATATAAGGCGTAGGAGAATTTTTCACTATATTTATTAGAATAGATGTAGTTTGCCTGGTATTTTCGATGACCGTACCGGGTTATTCACCAACTTGATTTTAGTCAACTATTTGATATCCTATAAAGCCAACGCCAATAAAAGTTGAGATGCAACTCTTTGACATCCTATTAAGCCAACGCCCATATATGTTGAGATGCAACTCTAGCTTCTCGCTTGCCTTTTATCAATAATTTTTTCTTCTTGCTGTTCAAAAAAAATAAAAAAATAAAGTTGAGATGCAAGCTTGGGCCCCTGTCTGATTGTCTCAAAGTAAAATTTACAGTCCGAATATATTCACTAATTAAATCAGAAACAATGTCCTCTTCAGAAGTAACCCTTGAAAGTTTTTTAATTCCATTTAAGGAAATCAACTTGGCCACCAGAGACTTGATCAGTCCAGAAAGTTGTATCGGAAATGGTGGATTTGGTGCGGTTTACAGAGGAATACTCTCTGAAAGTTGGCAAAACCGCACAGCTGCCTTCAAACTCTTACATCCCGATCGTTACAAAGGGAAGAATGACTTTCATATTGAGGTTGAGATGATCTCCAGCTTCAACCATGAAAACATCATCCCCTTCATTGGCTACTATCATGAAGGCAGTATGATGATTATAGCTTCAGAATACGCCATCAATGGAAGCCTTGATCATCATCTCCAAGAACGCAATAAGAGATGTTGCCAAACGTGGCTACAACGCCTGAAGATTTGCATAGGGGCTGCAAAAGGACTCCAGTACCTTCACTCCGGTCTTGGAGAGGGCCGGAAAATAATACACAGAAACATCAAGGGTGCAACCATATTGTTAGATGGTAATTTCGAAGCCAAAATTGCTGTTTCCAAAGGCCCCATAAGTCAAATCCGTAGCATAATGACTACTCTTGATGTTGGTTCCTCCTGTTACATGGATCCTAGTTATAACGAAAGTGGCATCCTCAATGAAGAATCGGACGTATACTCACTTGGTGTGGTACTATTTGAAATATTGAGTGGCATGCTGGCTCATGATACAAGGATTATTGAAGATCAGAAGCCACAAACTTTGATGAATTTGGTCCGAATCTACTATCATGATGGGTTGGACAAGTTAATTGATCCTTTGATAAGAAATCAAATTGATGATCATTCTTTTCGTATTTTTAAAGAAGTTGCATGTCAGTGCATAACTTTCAAATCGAAGGATCGACCTAAGATGGATAACATCATCCAGTGCATCGAGGAAGCATTGGATGTTCAAGTAAGTCTTTTATTTGATTACATTCAATGGAATCTAGTTTCATACTCCGAGAATGAAAAAGTATGCTCTATCTATGCAACAGATTTGGGGCTGTGTGATATCCGCCGCTAAAAGTCTATTGCACACTAATTAGCAACGGATTTGGACGCCGCTGATCATTTATGTTGTGGTCTTAATTTCCGCTTCTAAGCAAAATCGGTTATGTTTAGGCATCCACAATGCATTGAGCTACATAGTGTTCAATGGATTGCCAGATCATTTTTTTTTTTTTTTCATACAACTGTATCAATTTTTTGCTACAATGCATTGGGGTCAATAGAAAATTACAAAAGCTAATTCATAGTATATATTTAAAAGATAAAACTTTTCTTTTTTCCATTGAAGAGTTCAATGGCTACTGAACTCCAAATCCATTGAATGCCAATGTGGAATCTCACTATGGGAAAGTTTAATTCATTGAATGTCAAATAGACTTGCCACCTCATTCAACCCTACCATTGAACTCACCATTGTGGATGCTCTTATGTACACAGATACAAGGAGGTGCTTCCAGCGGTGCAACTATACAAATCAACCAATATCATGAGCTAGAACGTTTCCTAATTCCATTGAAGGATATCAACTCTGCTACCAGAGACTTCAGCCCCGAAACTTGTATTAAAGTCCATGGATATGGTGAGGTCTACAAAGGACAGATCTCTAAACACAAGGAAAACCGCACAGTTGCCTTCGACCACATGTATAGCTGACTAGGAGTCCATCTGTTCCATACCGAGGTTGAGATGATGTCTAGCTTCAACCATGAAAACATCATCGCTTTCGTCAGATACTGTGATGAGGATAATGAGCACATTATAGTTTCGGAATACGTTGTGAATAAAAGTCTTGAATATTATCTAGAAGACCCCAATGAAATCAGGTGCATTACATGGGCACAACGCCTGAAAGTATGCTTAGGAGTAGCAAGAGGACTCAAGTACCTTCATTCGGGTCTTGGGGAACACAACATAGTAATACATAGAGATATCAAAAGCGCAAATATTTTGTTAGATGAAAATCTAGACGCAAAAATTTGTGGTTTTGTGTTGTCAATATTAGTTGATCGAAATAAACCATAAGTATATGAACCTGCTGCCGGTACCCCATTTTACTTGGATCCCATCTACTATGAAAGCGGCATTGTCAAGACAGAACTAGACATTTACTCATTTGGGGTGGTACTATTTGAAATGTTGACTGGGATGTTGGCATACAGTAATGAGAGCAATATTGGTAATGAGGATCAACCTGAAACCCTCATTAATTTGGTCCGGCGAAACTATGATGAGGGAATGGAAAACTTAATTGATCCTAATATAAAAGATCAAATTAGTATCCATTCTTTCCAAGTGTTCAAGGCAATTACATATCGATGCATTAGTTTGAACTTAAAGGATCGCCCTACAATGAACATGATCATCAAAACGATTGAAGAAGCACTCGACAATCAAGTAAGTCTTATTTTTTTTATTATTTTTTTTTGTTGTCGTAGGTAATTACACCATGACCGAGATTTCCATAAATCCTACATCATGATCACAAGTAACAGATATGCCACTAAATTAGAAATCATGAAACTTATTCTACTCTTACATCATATCTATCTCATGATAAAAATATATATAAACAAGAAACGATTATGTAAGGTAGAGGGATTAATGTTTTGAAGAAATATGTCGTCAATTTTTCAGGCATTGGCAGGAAAATGGCACAACATCTCTAACTAAATTCAGTTTTGTTTATATTCACAGAACCCCGGACCAGCTTCTATCATCACCACACCAAGAAAAAAAGGTCAAAACCTAGAAAATTTTCTTATACCACTCAAGGAGATCTACCTTGCAACCCAATACTTCAGTGTTGAAACTCATATTGGAGATGGTGGATTTGGTGTGATCTACAAAGGACAACTCTCTGAGCACTGGCAAAAACGCACAGTTGCCATCAAACGCCTTGACCAAAATGGTTATCAAGGAAGAAAGGAGTTCCTTACCGAGCTTAAGTTGATTTCGAGCTTCCACCATAAAAACATCATCCGTTTCATCGGTTACTGTGATGAAAGCAATGAGATGGTTATAGTCAGCGAATATGCTAGTAACGGTAGCCTTGACCATCATCTCGAAGACCCAAATAAGAGGTGTTGCTTAACATGGGCACAACGGCTTCAGATTTGCTTAGGGGCTGCAAGAGGACTCAACTACCTTCACTCAGGTCTAGGGGAGGACAACAGGGTAATACATAGAGACATCAAGAGCGCAAACATATTATTGGATGAAAACCTTGAAGTGAAAGTTTGTGATTTTGGTCTGTCCAAACAAGGCCCCAGAGATCAGCATCCTACACATCTCTATACAAAAGCTGCTGGTACCAACTTCTGCTTAGATCCTATTTACCAGGAAAGTGGCATCCTTCGTCAAGAGTCAGACGTGTACTCGTTTGGTGTGGTACTGTTTGAAATTTTGAGTGGAATGATGGCTTTCCACCGCAAGAGCTTAGGGAACGATAAACCACAACCATTGATAAATCTTATACGACGCTACTACAATGACAGGATCGAGGAGTTAATTGATCCCTTTATTAAGGATGAAATTGATAGGCGTTGTTTTCAAACCTTTAAAGAAATTGCTTATCAGTGCATTAGCTACAGTTCAAAGGAACGACCTACAATGGAAGCGATCATCAAGAGGATTGAGGATGCAATATATATTCTCAAGGAAATTCTTCTAATTGATTATTTTGAGGGGATTATGCTTTCAAAGGAAAGAATAAAAACCAGCATGGAGTATATAATATGAGAATGTCGTGATATGTACAGAATTTGATGAATAATGCTTGAGATATATGAAAGAGTTTGGAAGACAAATTTGGGTGAACTGGTTCTTAAATTTTTTTACATAACTTATGTTAGTAGGTTAACCTAGACCATTAATTCTATTAGTTACGGTTAATCATGGTAGTTATGTTGACAGTTATATGGGAATCATTGTGATCGTTTGTGAAGCGTCGTGTTGGTTGGAATATGTGCAACCGTCTAGTCATATGTATATAAAGGGATAATAACATTTGTAAAACGTGTAAAATAGAAGTAGTCATACAACCTAAAAATAGTCCAAATCTTTTCATAAGAGTCAGGACATCTTCTCTCCAATTTTTTGTATTTAAACTATGTACATCTAGTTGTTCACATACATAGAAATATACAGTGCTTTCATGGTTTCAGAGCTTTAACAACACGTAACTCCATCATCATTTTTTGTTTTACACAAACAAAGTTTAGAAACACGACACAAACAGTTGAAGGAAAAAAAACAAGAAACCAAAAGACAGAAATCTCCCTAATCCTTAAAACTGATTCACTGATTAGGCACTTTTCTGACAAAGCTTCTCAATAAGATCACCTACATCTTGAACATATACAGTACTTTCAAAGGGGTCTATTTATTAGTTAGGGGTTTAACATATTCGTTACCTAAATAATAAAAAGACCAGTTTGATGTATATCTTATCCTTTGTTTGAAACTTTATCTTTATCCCCAACAAAGTGGTATCATAACCAATTTCAATTAAAAGCAAAGCAATCTTATTTTTTTTCTTACATAGGGTGGAGGGAGTCAATCTCCCTCCACTCTCCTAACCTTACTTCTACCTAGGCACCACATCAGCTTTTCTTTCTCCTCCCACTTCCATCTTTCCCAACACACACCACAAATAATCCATCTTTCCTAACCCAATCCCAATCTACAAGTACTGAATCATATGGTACAAGTTGAGGGAAAATAGGTTGAGTGGGTTCAACATGACAGTGAAGTCACCTAACCTCATCTAGCATGTCAAGGAATCGTCTTATTGGAGGTACCGCAACTATCTATCATTCATTTACTGCCCACTTTATCCACCCTTATGGCTATGTACAATAATTTGTTTCAAGCGTATCTACCACTATTTAATGGTATAAAATATCATCATTTGGATATCTATGTGAGGTTTAAGTATATTTAGCAAGATATGTGGAGTATCTTTACATAAGGTATCTCTGAACCACCATATCCCACTGATAGATGCCATTTTATGCATCTTTTAGGGTAGTTTTTATTAGCACTTAACATCGTATTTTACAAATTTGCATGTCATTACTTTAAATAATGTTTAGCTCATGTCTTTCGTCAGTATTCTCGTACTACTCATATTTTTTGTGTAATTTTCAGATAATTCGAGTGGAGCAGTACTTGAGGAGCAGCTTTGGATGCATTTAATGGAGCATTGAAGTTGATTGGACCTTGGAACTTATGAAGGATTCTGAGAAATGCTTGATAGCTGTTTTGGTCAAAAAATATTCGATTGAATTGATCCTATGAACATAGATTGCTACATTCTAAAGCCTAAAGGATGTTGCTCGCTGCTTTGACCCCTTCTCAGTATTTTGACCATATCTTATGACATGTAACTGAGATTGACAAGATTGAAAATTTTCCAGAAACTAGAAAAAATTACGGACGAGTTAGTTTAGTAAGAGTTAGTTTAGAAAATTTTTCTTAGGCAATTTCTCTCCGATTTCAACAATTTTGAAGATTTAAAAATTATGGATTATGATTCTTAGTTAGTTTAGTAAGAATTAGTAGTTTGATTTCTCTTTTTACTATTCTAGACTCGGTTTTAGCCGTTTCTGTCTAAAACCCTAGTTTTCAGTTCTGCAATAGACCTGTACTTTTCATGTGACCAGTTATCGAATTTGGTTTTCATTGTGTGCTCTTATCTAGTTGTTTCAGTTTTGAGCTTAATAAATGTTTGATTTTGTTCTTTTTAGTTTGGTCACCTAGCTATGGTTTAATCATTCCAGTTAATCAGTTAATAGAATTCATAATTGTTCATGTTAACTGATAATAAGTAACAAGTATCAGATTGGTTATGTGTTGGGATTTAACTCTAATATAAACTGAAATATCAGACCTTTACGCTTCCAATCGTTTGAGAAGTATTTGGTATTGTTGGGAATTTTACACAAAACATAACGGAAATTTTCTGATCTTAATTAATAGCTTGTTTAATTGGACAGTAAAAAGTTAAGGTTAACT